CTGCTCCTAGCTTGAACCCAAACATGAAACCTCAAAAGAACAAAGCTCGTCCGAAGCGGCCGCAGTTCTTTTTACCGGGATTGCTGAAAGTTGCACTGCTTCCAGGGCACTAGTGCGCCTGGAGCAGGAGGCACATTGACCCCCCGAAATGTGAAAAGGCAAAAACAATGCGTGTCCTTGCGCGTAAATGCAGTGCTTGGGGGGGCGCGGCACGCGTGCCCACGCCCCAAGGTCCGGAGACCGACAGTCCGGAGACTCGAGGTCCGGAGACCGATTTTGGTCCGGAGACCTAGTCCGGAGACCACAGTGCCCGGAGGCGACCCACGAAAGTGCAGAGAAACTGCCGTCTATCCTGGCAAAGCCTGGCATAGGGCAATGCAGGGTGGGTGGGTGGGTTTCGAAATGAAACCGCAGGTTTGGGTCAAGGCTAGGAGCAAAACGGCCAACGCATAGTTCGATTCACCACATGCCCTAAACACAAGGGAAAAGAAACCCTAAGCGTTATGGCATGTCGCACTGCTCCTAGCTTGAACCCAAACATGAAACCTCAAAAGAACAAAGCTCGTCCGAAGCGGCCGCAGTTCTTTTCACCGGGATTGCTGAAAGTTGCACTGCTTCCAGGGCACTAGTGCGCCTGGAGCAGGAGGCACATTGACCCCCTCTTCAGTGTTTCAGGCAACCCCGGTAAAAGCGAACCAGCTGGGCCGAAGGCCTCATCACCCGCCCTTCAGAGTGGAGGTTCAGCGGCTTGGCGTGTAAGACCCATATAGCACATATAGCACATATAGCAAGGATCCGGGGGAGAGTGGAGGTTCAGCGGCTTGGCGTGTAAGACCCATATAGCACATATAGCACATATAGCAAGGACCCCGGGGACTGTGGCGGTTCAGCGGCTTGGCGTACACGCGTTTTTGGATCAATTTTGTTGCAATACTGCGGCAACAAGAGTCAACCATGGAGCAATTTTGTTGCAATATTGCGGCAACGAGAGTCAACCATGGATCAATATTGGCAACCTCTCTCTTTAGAGGGCGTTTCCCAAATGGATTCTATTCTACCTGAGAGGCTCCCAGCACTCGTCCGTCCAGCATTTGACCTCGTCCTGCGAAGGATTCGATAGATATGCGCCGCAATTTGGCTCCAGGTTGCATTTCAAGCGATGTCAAGCTTTGCCAAAGGAAACCCCTTTTCCCTTTTTTTCGGGGACCCCTTTTTTTGGGACCCCTTGTTTTCTGTTTTTTTGTTTTTTCTTCGCCCTGCAAAGGTTGGCTCGCTTGAAATGCAACCTGGAGCCAAATTGCAAGCATATCTAGGGGTCATTATTTTGCAGCCACACGCCTCCACGCAGCGTTTTAGACTTCGAATCCTTCGCAGTCAAATGCTGGACGGACGAGCGCTGGGAGCCTCTCAGGTAGAATAGAATCCATTTGGGAAACGCCCTCTAAAGAGAGAGCGCAAGGGCCGCGTCCGCCGCTGCGATGAGTAGCAGTCTGCCGCAATGTCGTCGCCGTTGGCCAGCGCAGCAGAGAGACATGAGGCTTGCGCTGGCTGGACGTTCAGACCAATGCCAAGGGGGGAAAATTCATGTCTAGAGGACTCCCATCAGGGCGCGCTGGTGTGCAAGACGTGGAGGTGCTGTGGGAGCCCGGCAACTTCCAGGACGACGGGGCCAAGAGGGTGGGAGTGTGCTTTGGAGCTGTGGACGGATGGGTGGAGCAGGGCGTCATTGACAACATGATCGTCTTCAGAGCCCTTTCCGGGCTGG